CGCTGATAAAAGTCGGTATGAGTACCTGTCCCCTGCGATGCTACACTGGAGCCAGCCTTGCTATAAATAGACAACGCTTCGATGTATGCTGATCAACACAGATCGCCTGCGTATATAAGGGGGAGAATGATGTATCATCACTGCAATCAGAGGTTAGCACTTCCAATGGAACGTCCTACCGTTTGGAATATCGTCGGCTCTATCAATATTCATACGAATAACCAAGCCTATCTGCACCTATCTGCAGCATCGAGGTCTACGCAGAGCCGGTTTTCTGGATGACGGCATACAGGTTCTTCAAAGTGCCAATCAACTCAGACAGCAGCTGAACTTCACAATTAAGTTGCTCACGCAACTAGGATGGCTAATGAACCTGATGAAGTTGGAGTTAGAATCAAAACAAGATCTTCAATTGCTGGGAATAAGAATTATCACAACACAGAATCGAATTGTGGTCCCAGAAGATCATTGAGTCAAGATATAAGCCATGATTCCACAAGCAGTCATCTCTCCGTTAACACTACGAACATGGCAATGTCTACTCGGTCTACTAACCTCGGCGCAGGACTTGACTTGCACAGGAAGGTTACAACTAAGGCCGCTGCAACGGTTCCTGACAAAACATCTGGACCCCGTTGACCCTATCTTGCTGCCAGACAATCTCAAGAGGTACCTACTTTCGTGGACCCACAGGTCGAACGTCTGCGGCCTTTGACACACATCTCTACGTAGACACATCCACAGGGGCGTGTCACGCTTAGAAACAGCGTTAGAAAGACATATAGGCATATAGACCCTACCCTAGTACTATATAAAAGGAAAGGGATGTAACGACGGAACCACCCCCTCCTCAATCAAAGTTAGATTTTACCATGTCAACTATTTATAAAGCCCCGTCAAGGCCTATGGATCAAAAGCGAGATGATTTGCCTACAAAATGAGCTATAAATGGTCACAATCGGATCATTATTTCAAAAGTTATATGCCACGACTCGCCGAAAACAGCTACCTCCGCAATTCCAAGCCAAAATCATGCATCACCCAAGACAGCAAAAACTCACCTTTTAAATTCGTTTATTAATTCCAGCCACGTTGACAGCACCTATGTAGGGCTAGATTCGATCGGCAGCAGCATTCCACAGGTCTAAAAACTTATTGCAAAATCTACAAATCATTTCCTCGACAGTATGCAGGCATTTTCTCGAAAACCAACGGCAATCATACTCACTTGTCGGCCATAGATGGCCTTGACATTTAAGTGATCTGAGCAGATCCGCAGAAACTGACTTGGGCCATCCGACTGTGCGAGTCAAGTCCTCCACTCGTTACCTGTACGATGACAAGTGGTTGAAGTTTGAGACTTATGCAAGGCGGAAAGGCTTCATTGCTATGAAAGCTACTCATCCTCAAGTGGCGGAATATCTGTGTCATCTTAGACAGACTAGACAACTGAAAGGTTCGACATTATCTACATACCTCGCTGCCATCAGTACAGTGATCACCATGAAAACAGGCATCAAGTTGACGAAAGTACCAGAATTACTTGCTCTGCTGAGATCTTTTAAACTGGAGGACCAGCAAAAGAAGTTCAGAGCTCCGGCCTGGGATCTGAATGTAATTCTACGTCATCTTACCAGTGATGCCTACGAACCTCTAGATCAGACTACCTTCGAGCTGCTAACACAGAAGACTCTGTCCCTGCTTGCGCTAGCCATGGCAGCTCGAATATCAGAGATACATGCGCTGGACTTTGGTCGAACAAGATTCGACACGGGGCAACATGCTGCAGTTGATCTAGGACTTCATTGCCAAGAACCAACTACCTGGTCAACCAGATAGACAGTTCCACGTACCAGCTCTATCTACAATCCTAGGACCAGAGGATATAGAGACCTATCCTTGTGTCCAGTCAGAGCCCTGAAGATATATCTTCAAAAGACAAAAACAAGGAGATGCAAATTCAAGTGCCAGTTCATCCCATTATCCACAGAGGCATCAGAAGTCTCAAGAACGACAATATTGTTCTGGATGAGAGCCGTCATATTGAGAGCCTATAAAACAGCAGGACTAGAACCTCCTAGAGGATAAGAAAAAAATATGTAATTTTTCAAGTAAAATTGATATTTTATACTTATCCTGTCTCATGAGGCCAAGCCCTCCCAACCTCCCCGCTGGAAACACTTCGGATTTCACAGCAGATCCAAGTGCATGGGCAGAAGAATCAGGAGAGAGTGACAAGTAAGGCTGGTCACATGACTGTTTACGCGGGAAAAGGGAGGTAACTCGTGGGTGAGTGTATTTTTACGTCCGCTTCGTTAACTTCAAGGGATTCAAGTGTTCCACTACCATTCACAAGGGAAAGGGAGATAAGCAAAAGATCATGAGTCAGGATAAGTATAAAATATCAATTTTACTTGAAAAATTACATATTTGTAAGGTGTGTAATGGATTTGAAGTCAGAGTAACCAGTCCGAACCAGTACTGGGAGTCTGTTATCCATCAAGTGAATGAAGATACATGGTATAGGGTTTATACCAAGAAGGGAGTTGTAATTGTCTTGCTTGGATAACGCTTGTTACTATTCCCCCTCATTGTAAACAAGGTGCTTCCATGCTGATGCACAGATGCCCAGATGTTAAGTCTTTGAAACTAATTGGCATCTGGTAATTATGGGGGATAATTAAGATGGCAGTGGCTAGACAACTGACAGTTGGAGTGTTGTTCCCTTTAAGACAGTATTTGATGAAGTTTTTTACCTTTTCTTGCTGAAGGTTTGTGTTTTATTAATGTGTTTGACATTATTGCTTGCATGCATCACTGTAGACACGGGTGTAATTCTCTTGCCACTTCAACTTAGTAACTCATCTGAGAGGTATTTTACTTGTTCTTTTTTATTGAGCATGTTTCAAATGTCAGTCATGTATTGGAATAAGGATCTGGTGGATCTAGTGTCAAGTCAGTCAATTACTTCTTCATTTCCAACACTCATAGTTTCTGAGGCTGCAAGTCGGATAAAAAAAAAACAATTCTGGAGTTAAACACCATGGCAGCCTTATAGAAATTGATTCACATCTCCGGACACAATATGATGACCCGTGTTTAGAGTTTCGTCTAATTATGAAACTTATGATGATAAATATTATTGATGCCAAATTCTTTATAATGTCTTAACATTTGTGTTTTCCTTACCAGCATGGTTTGTTCTGACAGACATCAGATTTAGACCATAAACCTGAAGTGAGATGACACATGAAAGCTAGGTGATCTGCAGAACAAATTACAATAATTTAAGAGATAAGTTATCCCTATATCTGTGTAGTTATGACTTGTGTGATGATAGCTCCAGAGTATGAAGATTGACTTGGCCTAATACACATTGTAATGGCCTGCATAGATTGACATCTGGCGCCCACTAGTCTGTAGTGTCGGGAACTGGTTAAACTCTCATAATTGATGATTGGTTCATTACAACTGATAAATCATCGACGAAATAATTTGTTAGCGTCATTTATCAAATTTTCCTTGTTCGTTTGTTAACGCACCAAAATAAAGACAAAACATGTAGTTCTTTAGAGTGTTTTGCACATTTTACATCTTTAAAGGATGACTAGCATGTTAGGAACATAAATTTCCTGGAGTCTTTGATATATATTCAATCATGACTTGGAACTAGCTTGCAGTGCTTATGAAATGTAACAGACAAAACCAACCTTGTGAAAAATATTGTTAAAGCAAACAAGTGTTCCAAAATTGTTTGTGGTCAATTATGAGAAATCATGATCGATTGCTTGGTCGTTTAGTCATTGCGACCAATCTTCAATTACAGTCATCCCTCGCAATAACGCTCTTCGCGATACCACGGATTCGGTTAAACCGCGGGGTAAGCCGTGGCTCCCATAAAAAAAGTTGCCCAGTGATCACACATATTCACGTCATCGAAAATAGCACATCAACAAATCCGCTCTTGAGCTCTTGTTAATCACGTTGTAAACTAGTGAAATTCAGTGTGGATTGCAATTAACAGTGTTTATCGTACATATCCATGGTTTTTCAGATGCTTAAAACGTGCAGGTTTTTTTTCAATAATAATAGATGAACAGCGAAACATCGTAATAACTTTATAATAAAGACACTTACAACGTTTGCTACGATGCAACACACCGCGTAATTGCGCGGGTAAACTCCGCCATCCGAGAATGTATGTCAGAAAACACATTTTATTTGATTAAATTCAATCCCATTTTCATTCGTTAAAACTGTTTACAATAACAATGGAGAAACCGTGAGTGAAATGGCACTACCTCATTCCATACAACGCCCGCTTACCACGTTCGAGAGGGTCCCTTTTTCGCGCGCCTACCGCGATAGCACCAATTTCACATTTTTCTCAGCAATCACGAACAGCTTACAGCATTGTCATCCATTGACCCCAAGACCAGCGTTATTGACTCATTGAAGTCATATTTGACAATTAATTGCCAACATTTTGTTTTTACAATCAAAGTGGCATGTACCGCGGCAATGCTAATTATTATGTTAAATATGTTCGTAGAAAACATGCATTATACTTATACGATAGCAAGATCTCTGTTAGAATAACTGCTTGACATATAAATTATTCTGATAATGGAATAGAAATTCTTTCATGTTATATTTTCGGATCGTTTTTAACTGAATCACCGGTACATTGGACCAAAACATCGATCTGTGCCCAGCTGATTGCTATTTCCGGCTTGTCCTTTGTTCCACGTTATGTAATCGTTACTATAACACGGGTGTCTAATAACGCGGGTGGTCATCCATGGACCCCAAGACCCGGGCTATGGCGAGGGATGCCTGTATTTCAGTTAATCGGACCACCACTACTAAACTGAGTGGTTTAACTCGTTAGAGTAACACTTGGAGTAAGGTATTATTATGGAGTTATGGCTGTGTGGCTGGATTCCCTGGTCCACACTTCTTCAAGGATGCTGTCATGTGCTAACATCATTCTGTTCCAGGTGTTTTCTTATACCAAAAAGAAAGCTCTCCAGACGGATGACCTGTGTTTGGATGTCTCTTCTGTGACCGGCCCTGTCAAACTATTTCAGTGCCACGGGCTGGGGGGCAACCAAAAGTGGGAATATGATTTAGAGGTATTGTTGCTGCTTGCAATGCTCCGTAGTCTGCAGAATGTGTCCATATAAATGTGTGCATAGGAAAAATTGTTTATGTCAAGGGAGGCAACTCTGAAAAGGATGATGGCATGATTTGTTTTGTCGATGGGTGTTTCGGCCAAAGAACAATACTGATAATTTGTCTGTCAGTTTGCAAGAAATTATCATTTATATGATGCATTCTGTTGACTTAATGTGTACTGAGAAGGACAAGGGGCAGACAACTGTGTCAGGGTTTCTGACAGTACCATCATCTGTTACTGTTCATCAAATCTATTATTGAACAAATGAGTATTTGGGGGAAATGAGTAGTAGTGAGTCCTGATGAGGTGTTGGTGACCTGAGATATGCACTGTCTGCCCCAGTCTTCATCTCACTGCATGCGGCTTGTGACAGGTGTTGTCTCTAACAGTTCTGTTCCTTTCAGCTGAGGGCTGCCATCTCCAGTGTGGTGCACTTGCATGACTTGTATGGCTGTATGTCTCACTGTCAGTAAATGTTTGTTTTTGATGACCGACTAGGTGTTTGCTTATACCAAGAAGAAACTCATTATGACGGATGAGAATATGTGTGTCCAGGCGCACGGCTCATCAGCCGTGTATTTTGCACGGTGCGATGCTGACAACGTCCATTGGGAATATAGTCCACAGGTAGTACTATATGTTTGAGCTATTAGTAGTCAGCAGTATAAGGCTGAACACAGCCAAGCCACCAGTAGTGCCACGTATATGTCTATGAAAGGTATGCATAGTTTTCAGTACACAAACTTCACAGGCAGCACCAGCTAGAAGTCCTGGTCAAGTCTCTGTACACAACTGGGACCATTAGATGGAGAGAAGCACACTGTCAACTGAAAGTCCTTGAAGGCTGAAATGTTGATAGTAGCACACACTTCACACACAGTCTTGAATGATTGACGTGTTGGTAGAAGCACATAGTTCACTGACTGACCAGGATGATTGACGTGTTGGTAGAAGCACATAGTCATCTGAGATTCCGGGATGGTCGGTGTGTTGGTAGAAGCACATAGTCCACTGAGAGTACAGAATAGTTGGTGTGTTGGTAGAAGCACATCGTCCACTGAGAGTACAGAATAGTTGGTGTGTTGGTAGAAGCACATAGTCCACTGACTGTCCAGGATGATTGATGGGTTGGTAGAAGCACATAGTCCGCTGATAGTACAGAATAGTTGGTGTGTTGGTAGAAGCACTTAGTCAACTGAAAGTCCAGAATAGTTGGTGTTTTGGTAGAAGCACATAGTCCACTGAGAGTACAGAATAATTGAAGTGTTGGTAGAAGCACATAAAATACACAATGCCATTTTAGAAAGTGGTCAAATGTAACATATGTTATATTTGGGATTACACTTTCTTAGTAAAGTTCAGATTCTAGTACTTTCTTGGGTTGACTCCCATTTGGGATTCGAACCCACCCCCTCAGAGTCAGGCACCTAATCGCCAGCACACGAGGTCAGACGCCTAGACCGCTCAGCCACCGCGGCTTCCACGCCTCCCTGTAGTACACTGAACAGCCAATGACTCTTGTACTCACCTTGTATGAGCTCCATGACTCGTGTACTCACCTTGTACGAGCTCCATGACTCATGTACTCACCTTGTATGAGCACCATGACTCTTGTACTCACCTTGTATGAACTCCATGACTCGTGTACTCACCTTGTATGAGCTCCATGACTCATGTACTCACCTTGTAAGAGCACCATGACTCATGTACTCACCTTGTATGAGCTCCATGACTCACCTTGTATGAGCTGAGCTCTATGACTCGTGTACTCACCTTGTATGAGCTCCATGACTCGTGTACTCACCTTGTAAGAGCACCATGACTCATGTACTCACCTTGTACGAGCACCATGACTCTTGTACTCACCTTGTATGAGCTCCATGACTTGTGTACTCACCTTGTACGAGCACCATGACTCTTGTGTACTCACCTCTCAGCCCCATGACTCTTACTTACACCTTTCACAGCTCCATGACTTCGAGCTCCATGACTCCATGACTACTCACCTTGTATGAGCTCCATGACTCTTGTACTCACCTGGTATGAGCTCCATGACTCCATGACTCATGTACTCACCTTGTATGAGCTTCATGACTCTTGTACTCACCTTGGTATGAGCTCCATGACTCGTGTACTCACCTTGTACGAGCACCATGACTCATGTACTCACCTTGTACGAGCACCATGACACTTGTACTCACCTTGTATGAGCTCCATGACTCGTGTACTCACCTTGTACAAGCACCATGACTCGTGTACTCACCTTGTGTGAGCTCCATGACTCGTGTACTCACCTTGTATGAGCTCCATGACTCGTGTACTCACCTTGTACGAGCTCCATGACTCGTGTACTCACCTGGTATGAGCTCCATGAATCTTGTACTCATCTTGTACAAGCTCCATGACTCGTGTACTCACCTTGTACGAGCACCATGACTCGTGTACTCATCTTGTACGAGCACCATGACTCGTGTACTCACCTTGTACGAGCACCATGACTCGTGTACTCATCTTGTACGAGCACCATGACTCGTGTACTCACCTTATACGAGCACCATGACTCGTGTACTCATCTTGTACTCATGACTTGTACGAGCACCATGACTCGTGTACTCACCTTGTACAAGCACCATGACTAGTGTACTCACCTTGTACGAGCTCCATGACTCGTGTACTCATCTTGTACGAGCATACACAGCAGTAACACTCGGTACATGGAGCTACAGTCAGTTTTCTTGAGGCAGCATTAACACCTAGTATTCTGAGTAACTCTGTCTTCTCATCAGTAAATAGATATGTTCTCATCCTCATGTAGACCAGAAACTTTTACAAGAAAAGATGACCCTAACGCTAACCCAAACGAAGTTTTCAATTCTTTTATGTATGAATATATGTTGTACTGTTTGCACACGTATGATGCAAAGCACTGTCTTATTGTGACAAGCTGCTTGTGTTTGTGTCAGTATTAATGTCATTTTATTTTCCTTCTGGCAGACTCTGACGCTGAGACATGTCAACACTGGGCTGTGTCTAGGAAAACCGTCTGTCCATGACTCAGGGACTCCATCACTTGGTATGTATGTTCCGGTATTCATGGAGTAGGCACCAGGGATCAGTCAGTGGGCACCAGGGATCAGGCAGTATGCACCAGGGATCAGGCAATGGGCACCAGTGATCAGGCAGTAGGCACACGGGATAGGGCAGTAGGCACCAGGCAGTAGTTACCAGGGATCAGGCAGTAGTTACCAGGGATCAGGTAATAGGCACCAGGGATCAGGCAGTAGGCAACAAGCGGTAGTTATCAGGGATCAGGCACTAGTTACCAGGGATGAGGCAGTAGGCACCAGGCAGTAGTTACCAGGGATCAGGTAGTAGGCACCAGGGATGAGGCAGTAGGCACCAGGCAGTAGTTACCAGGGATCAGGTAGTAGGCACCAGGCAGTAGTTACCAGGGATGAGGCAGTAGGCACCAGGCAGTAGTTATCATGGATCCTGCAGTAGTTACCAGGCAGTAGTTACCAGGGATGAGGCAGTAGGCACCAGGCAGTAGTTATCAGGGATCAGGCACTAGTTACCAGGGATGAGGCAGTAGTTATCAGGGATCAGGTAGTAGGCACCAGGCAGTAGTTACCAGGGATCAGGCAGTAGGGACCAGGCAGTAGTTATCAGGGATCAGGCACTAGTTACCAGGGATGAGGCAGTAGGCACCAGGCAGTAGTTATCATGGATCCTGCAGTAGTTACCAGGCAGTAGTTACCAGGGATGAGGCAGTAGGCACCAGGCAGTAGTTATCAGGGATCAGGCACTAGTTACCAGGGATGAGGCAGTAGTTATCAGGGATCAGGTAGTAGGCACCAGGCACTAGTTACCAGGGATGAGGCAGTAGGCGCCAGGCAGTAGTTATCAGGGATCAGGCAGTAGGCACCAGGCAGTAGTTATCAGGGATCAGGCAGTAGTTATCAGGGATCAGGCACTAGTTACCAGGGATCAGGCACTAGTTACCGGGGATGAGGCAGTAGGCACCAGGCAGTAGTTATCAGGGATCAGGTAGTAGACACCAGGCAGTAGTTACCAGGGATCAGGCAGTAGGCACCAGGCAGTAGTTATCAGGGATCAGGCACTAGTTACCAGGGATGAGGCAGTAGGCACCAGGCAGTAGTTATCAGGGATCAGGCAGTAGTTACCAGGGGTCAGCCAGTAGGCACCAGGGATCAGGCAGTAGGCACCAGGCGGTAGTTACCAGGGATCAGGCACTAGTTACCAGGGATGAGGCAGTATTTACCAGGGATCAGGTAGTAGGCACCAGGCAGTAGTTATCAGGGATCAGGCACTAGTTACCAGGGATCAGGCACTAGTTACCAGGGATCAGGCACTAGTTACCAGGGATGAGGCAGTAGTTAACAGGGATCAGGCAGTAGGCACCAGAGATCAGGCAGTAGGCAACAGGCAGTAGTTACCAGGGATCAGGCACTAGTTACCAGGGATGAGGCAGTAGGCACCAGGCAGTAGTTACCAGGGATCAGGCAGTAGGGATCAGGCAGTAGGCACCAGAGATCAGGCAGTAGGCAACAGGTGGTAGTTACCAGGGATCAGGCACTAGTTACCAGGGATGAGGCAGTAGGCACCAGGGATCAGGCAGTAAGCACCAGGCAGTAGTTATCAGGGATCAGGCACTAGTTACCAGGGATCAGGCAGTAGGCACCAGGGATCAAGTAGTAGGCACCAGGCAGTAGTTACCAGGGATGAGGCAGTAGGCACCAGGCAGTAGTTACCAGGGATCAGGCACTAGTTACCAGGGATGAGGCAGTAGGCACCAGGCAGTAGTTATCAGGGATCAGGCAGTAGGCACCAGGGGTCAGGCAGTAGTTATCAGGGATCAGGCAGTAGGCACCAGGGGTCAGGCAGTAGTTACCAGGGGTCAGGCAGTAGGCACCAGGGATCGGGCAGTAGGCACCAGAGATCAGGCAGTAGGCAACAGGTGGTAGTTACCAGGGATCAGGCACTAGTTACCAGGGATGAGGCAGTAGGCACCAGGCAGTAGTTACCAGGGATCAGGCACTAGTTACCAGGGATGAGGCAGTAGGCACCAGGGATCGGGCAGTAGGCACCAGAGATCAGGCAGTAGGCAACAGGTGGTAGTTACCAGGGATCAGGCACTAGTTACCAGGGATGAGGCAGTAGGCACCAGGCAGTAGTTACCAGGGATCAGGCAGTAGGGATCAGGCAGTAGGCATCAGGAGTAGTTATCAGGTGGTAGTTACCAGGGATCAGGCACTAGTTACCAGGGATGAGGCAGTAGGCACCAGGGATCAGGCAGTAAGCACCAGGCAGTAGTTATCAGGAATCAGGCACTAGTTACCAGGGATCAGGCAGTAGGCACCAGGGATCAAGTAGTAGGCACCAGGCAGTAGTTACCAGGGATGAGGCAGTAGGCACCAGGCAGTAGTTACCAGGGATCAGGCAGTAGGGATCAGGCAGTAGTTACCAGAGATCAGGCAGTAGGCAACAGGTGGTAGTTACCAGGGATCAGGCACTAGTTACCAGGGATGAGGCAGTAGGCACCAGGCAGTAGTTACCAAGGATCAGGCAGTAGGGATCAGGCAGTAGGCACCAGAGATCATGCAGTAGGCAACAGGTGGTAGTTACCAGGGATCAGGCACTAGTTACCAGGGATGAGGCAGTAGGCACCAGGGATCAGGCAGTAAGCACCAGGCAGTAGTTATCAGGGATCAGGCACTAGTTACCAGGGATCAGGCAGTAGGCACCAGGGATCAAGTAGTAGGCACCAGGCAGTAGTTACCAGGGATGAGGCAGTAGGCACCAGGCAGTAGTTACCAGGGATCAGGCACTAGTTACCAGGGGATGAGGCAGTAGGCACCAGGCAGTAGTTATCAGGGATCAGGCAGTAGGCACCAGGGGTCAGGCAGTAGTTATCAGGGATCAGGCAGTAGGCACCAGGGGTCAGGCAGTAGTTACCAGGGGTCAGGCAGTAGGCACCAGGGATCGGGCAGTAGGCACCAGAGATCAGGCAGTAGGCAACAGGTGGTAGTTACCAGGGATCAGGCACTAGTTACCAGGGATGAGGCAGTAGGCACCAGGCAGTAGTTACCAGGGATCAGGCAGTAGGCACCAGGGATCGGGCAGTAGGCACCAGAGATCAGGCAGTAGGCAACAGGTGGTAGTTACCAGGGATCAGGCACTAGTTACCAGGGATGAGGCAGTAGGCACCAGGCAGTAGTTACCAGGGATCAGGCAGTAGGGATCAGGCAGTAGGCACCAGAGATCAGGCAGTAGGCAACAGGTGGTAGTTACCAGGGATCAGGCACTAGTTACCAGGGATGAGGCAGTAGGCACCAGGGATCAGGCAGTAAGCACCAGGCAGTAGTTATCAGGAATCAGGCACTAGTTACCAGGGATCAGGCAGTAGGCACCAGGGATCAAGTAGTAGGCACCAGGCAGTAGTTACCAGGGATGAGGCAGTAGGCACCAGGCAGTAGTTACCAGGGATCAGGCACTAGTTACCAGGGATGAGGCAGTAGGCACCAGGCAGTAGTTATCAGGGATCAGGCAGTAGGCACCAGGGGTCAGGCAGTAGTTACCAGGGGTCAGGCAGTAAGCACCAGGCAGTAGTTATCAGGGATCAGGCACTAGTTACCAGGGATCAGGCAGTAGGCACCAGGGATCAGGCAGTAGGCACCAGGCGGTAGTTACCAGGGATCAGGCACTAGTTACCAGGGATGAGGCAGTAGTTACCAGGGATCAGGTAGTAGGCACCAGGCAGTAGTGACCAGGGATCAGGTAGTAGGCACCAGGCAGTAATTACCAGGGATCTGGCAGGGGGCACCAGGCAGTAGTTACTAGGGATCAGCCAGTTGGCACCAAGGATGTCCAATAGGCACCATGGATCAGCCAGTAGGCAGATAAGACAGTAGTTATCAGGGATCAGGCAGTAGTTATCAGGGATCAGGCAGTAGGCACCATGGATCAGCCAGTAGGCAGATAGGACAGTAGGCACCAGGGATTAGGCAGTAGGCACCAATAGAGGGGAGATACAAGGTGTAATATGTTGGGTTACAAGTGGGGATGGGGTCGTACATTTTACATGTTTTGTCGAAATAGAAATCATTTCTTTTTGTGACGTATTTGTGAACTTCCTTTCCTTCTCTGCAGGGGAGTGCACTGGGTTGCCTTCACAACAATGGCAGCTGAGCGATATGAAGTGGAAGAACTAGTGAATTGTGGGATACACATACGACAGTTGGCCGATGCGACTTGTGCTGTCAGTATGTTTGTCAGATCTCAGGAGTTTCTGTTGTACCTTATAGAGATATATGTACCTCTGCCATCCAGGAAGATGCCCTCCTTTAACATGGAGTATGTGTGCGTGTAAGTGTGTGTCTGAGCTGAAGGTCAACCAGCACTTTATGTTGACAACAACCATGTTTCCTTGTTCTTAATGTGAACTACAGATAAAGACAAAACAGAGATATGACTGTGACTGTGGTCAGGATCGGAATACATCCAGACTGCGCTGCTAATAGACTTGTGTGATGCTTGTTCACAAGATGCTGGACAGTGCTGAATGGATGGAGCTGCAGACATTGTAACATCTGTCTCTGTCATCAAGATTTGACAATGAGAGCCATGGACACTGGAGATGTTTTGCCATGGACACAGAGTAACATTTGCCATGGTAACATGGGTATGTATTGCCATGGATACACGGTAGTATTTTACCATAGCAACATTGGTATTACACTAAGTAACATTTTGCCATGGCAACATGGGTGTGTATTGCCATGGGCATAGAGCCTGTAGCCATGGACACAGGAGAGAGTGTGTCATCAAGGTGTGACAGAAGATGCCATATACAGAAGAAATCTCTACCATATTTTATATCCTTTTTGTATATTTGGAATTCATTGTATAATCTGATGATATTGTGTAATCATCTCATCCCATTGTATGAATATTTCTTTGTTGTCTATAAGATGTTTATGATTCTGTGAAAGATGAGAATACCTATTGAAGATGTTACTTGTTTTCACTTGTGATGGGCCTGCAATATACAGTGTTATAAGTTTGGGCCTCACTTTGAACAACTCGGGTTTACTTGTCCATGTCCCTTGTGGCTGAACAGATCTATGGCCTTTTAGATGACACAACAGCTCTGTGCCATATTTGTCACACTGCCGAACACATGTATGTACCCAATCAGAAGCCATGTGCAGCTCACAGACGTGGCATGGAGTTGTAAGTGCAGCTGTCATGTGGGATATCTAATATATATCCTACTATATCCATGTATGATAACATATAGATATCCTGCAGTCAGCTATGCATGATAACATATATATCCCACAGTGTGCCATGTGGTATACAAGTTCTACAGTCTACAATGTTGGATACAATACAGAGTTTTCAATCTGCCTTGTGGGACTAGATCTATATACGTATAGTGAGATAGCATCTATACATCCTACAATCTACCATGTGGGTAAACATGTCCAATACTGTTATGCGGGCTAACAGATCAGCCAGTGTGTGGAGTATTGGTGCAACCTGCTAAGTGGGGTGAAGGTACTAACAACTGTGTGGGTTAACAGATCAGCCAACTGTGTGAGCTGCCTGTGTAACCTACTGTGTTTGTGTGTAATGGTGCAACCTACTGTGTGTGGTAATGGTGCAACCTAATGTTCGGAGATAATGGTGCAACCTAATGTGTGTGGCTTAAATGTTGTGCAACCTACTGTGTGGGGTAATGGTGCAACCTACTGTGTGTGTGTGGGGAGGGGGGGGGGGGGCAAGTAGTGCAACCTATTAAGTGAGCTAACAGATCAGCCTACTGTGTGTGGGTAATGGTGCAACCCATTAAGTGGGCTAACAGATCAGCCAGTGTGTGGAGTATTGGTGCAACCAGCTAAGTGGGGTGAAGGTGCTAACAAGTGTGTGGGTTAACAGATCAGCCTACTGTGTGAGCTGTCAGTGCAACCTACTGTGTTTGTGTGTGGGGGTGGGGTTGTATGGGTGTAACCTACTGACATGGGTATGGGTGCAGCTACCTACTGTATGGGGTGACAGAGTAACCTATGATGTAGACTGACAAAGCACCCAACCATGTATGCTTACACTGCAACCTTTCATATAATGGTACACAACCGACCGACTATGAAAACAACTGTGTGGACTATTTGTTAAGTTGTTTCAGAAATATTAGGTATTTTAGTTTTTCTTATATGATTGGACTCCAGCAAATGATGGGTCTGGTGACCAACTCACAGGAGGCAGCCACGGAGATATGCTATGTGTTCCTTGTCCACTTGTGTCAGTAGTTGCACATTGCTTGGCTACTCTGTTCCCAGCTGTCCTTGTTATTGCATGTGATACAGGGTTAACATTCTTGTCTTTATTTGAAGGTCAAATTGATTTCACATAAAAGGAAAAATGCTGTCACACCACTACTTGAAAGAACATCTTACACCACTGCAGGATACAAAGTCTTACACCAATGCAGGAAAGAGAGCCTTACACCACTGTAGGATAGAACATCTTACACCACTGCAGGCAAGAACGTCTTACACCACTGCAGAAAAGATTGTCCTACACCACTGCAGAAAAGATTGTCCTACACCACTGCAGGATAGAACGTCTTACACCAATGCAGGAAAGAGAGCCTTACACCACTGCAAGATAGAACGTCTTACACCACTGCAGGATAGAACGTCTTACACCAATGCAGAATAGAGCGTCTTACGCCACTGCAAGATAGAGCGTCTTACACCACTGCAGGAAAGAGAAGATTGTCTTACACCACTGCAGGAAAGAGCCGGTTTACACCACTGCAAGGATAGAGCGCCTTACACCACTGCAGGAAGAGAAAGAGTGCCTTACACCACTGCAAAGATTGTCTTACACCACTGCATTATAGGACGTCGTAACCACCACTGCAGGAAAGAACATCTTCCACCACTGCAGGAAAGAGTGTCTTACACCACTGCAGGAAAGAGTGTCTTACACCACTGCAGGAAAGAGAGTCTTACACCACTGCATTATAGGACGTCGTGACCACCACTGCAGGGTAGAACATCTTGCACCACTGCAGGAAAGAGTGTCTTACACCACTGCAGGAAAGAGCGTCTTACACCACTGCATTATAGGAATGAGTCTTACACCACTGCAGGAAAGAGCCACCCACTGCATTATAGGACATCTTGCCACCACTGCAGGGTAGAACATCTTGCACCACTGCAGGAATGAGTGTCTTACACCACTGCAGGAAAGAGCGTCTTACACCACTTCAGGAAAGAGCATCTTACACCACTGCAGGAAAGAGTGTCTTACACCACTGCATTATAGGACGTCTTAAACACCACTGCCGGGTAGAACATCTTACAGCACTGCAGGTTAGAGCGTCTTACACCACTGCTTGATAGAACGTCTTACACCACTGCAGGATAGAGCGTCTTACGCCACTGCAAGAAAGAGCGTCTTACACCACTGCAGGAAAGAGTGGTTTACACCACTGCCGGGTAGAACATCTTACAGCACTGCAGGTTAGAGCGTCTTACACCACTGCAGGATAGAGTGTCTTACAACACTGCAGGATAGAACGTCTTACACCACTGCAGGATAGAACATCTTTACACCACTGCAGGAAAGAGTGTCTTACACCACTGCATTATAGGACGTCGTAACCACCACTGCAGGGTAGAACATCTTACACCACTGCAGGAAAGAGCGTCTTACACCACTGCAGGAAAGAGTGTCTTACACCACTGCATTATAGAACGTCTTACACCACTGCAGGAAGAACATCTTACACCACTGCGTCTTACACCACTGCAGGAAAGAGTGTCTTACACCACTGCAGGAAAGAGTGTCTTACACCACTGCATTATAGGACGTCTTAACCACCACTGCCGGGTAGAACGTCTTACAGCACTGCAGGTTAGAGCGTCTTACACCACTGCAGGATAGAGTGTCTTACACCACTGCATTATAGGACGTCGTAACCACCACTGCAGGGTAGAACATCTTGCACCACTGCAGGAATGAGTGTCTTACACCACTGCAGGAAAGAGCGTCTTACACCACTGCAGGAAAGAGTGTCTTACACCACTGCATTATAGGACGTCTTAACCACCACTGCCGGGTAGAACGTCTTACAGCACTGCAGGTTAGAGCGTCTTACACCACTGCATGATAGAGTGTCTTACACCACTGCATTATAGGACGTCGTAACCACCACTGCAGGGTAGAACATCTTGCACCACTGCAGGAATGAGTGTCTTACACCACTGCAGGAAAGAGCGTCTTACACCACTGCAGGAAAGAGTGTCTTACACCACTGCAGGAAAGAGCGTCTTACAGCACTGCAGGAAAGAGCGTCTTACAGCACTGCAGGTTAGAGTGTCTTACACCACTGCATTATAGGACGTCGTAACCACCACTGCAGGGTAGAACATCTTGCACCACTGCAGGAATGAGTGTCTTACACCACTGCAGGAAAGAGCGTCTTACACCACTGCAGGAAAGAGTGTCTTACACCACTGCAGGATAGAGTGTCTTACACCACTGCATTATAGGACGTCTTAACCACCACTGCCGGGTAGAACGTCTTACAGCACTGCAGGTTAGAGCGTCTTACACCACTGCAGGATAGAGTGTCTTACAACACTGCAGGATAGAGCGTCTTACAACACTGCAGGATAGAACGTCTTACACCACTGCAGGATAGAACATCTTTACACCACTGCAGGATAGAGTTTCTTTCACTACTGCAGGATAGGACATCTTACACCACTGCAGGATAGAAGATGCAACAGCAGCTGTTTAGCTGTTATCCTCTCAAGTTAAGGCTGATGAAGGATTAAGTATTATGCAAGCATCACAGCATGTTCATGGCAATAGCTGTATGCTCTCTGGGTGAATGCATGCTCTCTCTGCACTGGGAAAAGTCAACCATAATACCTTTCTCACCAGGTGTTGGGCAGGATATTTAGTTCTTATCTGTATTAGGAGGTCAATGTGTAAGCACTTAATGTTTAGTTGAGATGTTCCACTCACTTTATGGTATATGCAGTCACTGTCTGGTAGAGTTCGACATATATGCAGCAGTCACTGTCTGGTAGAGGAGGGCCTATGAGTCTCATGGGGGTCAGCCTAAATGTGTTAACTGACTCTTTGAAGTTGACCTGCAAGTACTCACTGTCCATAGAGGTCAACTGTCTGTGGTCAGTTGGCACGATTTGGTATAGATGTGTCTTGTGTTGCCTCCATGAGGACCAGGATGGGTAAACTCACGGTCAGGGTTAGAATACTGCTTACCAACTGTTGCTGCATATTATTTATTCTACTGACAAGCAGCTACAGTTTTATATGGAGATATGGTATGGTTTTATATAGACATTGACAATGTATAGGATATATATATATATATTTTGCTTGTGTTTCATATGTTTAACTCATGTTGGTATTTATATGCATGTTGATTGTTCACTGATGTACAAAGACAACGTTGTATACAATGAGAAGTTTAGATGTGGGTGTACATATATGTGACACCACTCTATGTGGCTGTGCCCTACCTACAGCTCACGTCATCATGCTGCACAGATTCTGCAGCCTCAGCTGTCTCTACCAATGTCTGATTTCATGTTGCTTCTCATGTTGCTGGAAGATTGAAGACAAGCAGGAAGGACGTGATTTTCTCCTCTTTCTGTTCACAAAGCTAATCACATCCTTGAGGTTACAGAGGAGAATCAAGAATTATTGGTGACATTTGTTCACTTATGTCAGCTTATGTATGTTGCCAGATTCCATGGCAGATTGTAGAAGCACCTCACTGTACATTTGTCTTTTGTTGGATGGTGTAGTAAAATTGATCAGTTTAAATTCTGTCATAGCAAAGTCATATAGTTATTCTTGAGACAAGAGTATTGTTGGTTCATAGGCAGGTACTTTTTTTAAAAAACAAAAACAACACATGCTTCTTTTGCAAAATCAATTTTTGTAAAGACAGCCAGGGAACCATTTGTTGTTCTTCTTTTCCTAATGAACACAATTACTTGTCCTACTACACATTTAAAATTAGGGGTCCAGGATTTGTGTACTCAGGTCTGGCAGTACTGTCACAGACTTTCAAGTAATATCAGCATAATGGTTGTGTATAAGATCTATGCTGTATCATCACTGTATATCATTACAGCGGCTTGGCACAATGGTTAGAGTTCTGTGATTGTGGAAGATTCTGAAAGTGTCATCGAGTGATACCCTATTAACATAGGGCTACTATTAGCCCCTACAGTGTGTTGCAATGTTCACAGCTGTTTGTTGCAGGCAGCACCAGGCAGTGTGTAGTAGGACATGTTTGGAGTGATTTTGTGATGTTGTTAGTGAGGGCTGCACCTGTACAGCTTACATTTTTTGTAACTTTCAGAACTAATTAGATTGCAGCAAATAGTCAAATAATGTCCTAATCAAAATGATTCATGATTTTCTGGGACAATAGGTCCTGGTTTGGTGAACTGTGTAGTTGTATGTTGATGTGGTAGAACCGAAGTTGCTGTAGGAGACAAGAAGCATACAGGCTTGAACTGTAGGTTCTGTCACTGGCGTAACAAGTTGGGATTTACTGGTGTTGCTTTATATCACAGAATAGAAGCCTGCAGGCGTGAACTGTCATTGTAGCCTTACTTTATGCTGCATCATCATTCTTTGTCCCCGATAAAAATCAAAGGATGAACTGAACAACCCTGAATTCATAATAAGTGCAATCCAGACAATATTTGGACTGTACCATTGTATGGTTAAAGGGGTGTGAAATCCTGGATC